CATCATGTTTTTATCTCCTTTCCCTTCTTACCTATTTACCTTATTTCTCCCTTCTTTCTCATCCTTTCATTCTTTGATTCCTATATATCCTTCCTTTCTCATCCCTCCATTATTACTATTATTTCTCAGTCCTTTCCTTTCTCACCTTTCCTTTCTCACCTTTCCTTTCTCGACTTTTCCATCGGTCCCCACCTTTATAAACCCCAATTTATTCCACCTTTGATATCATCCCCTCCTTTCTCGCCTTCCCTTCTCACCCTGCTTTATCACCCTTATATTTTTACCCTTTCTTTATAACGCCCTCTTATTATTCTTCACTTTAGACTTTCCTTCACACCTAATCTTTCCCATCTTCTCTCTGTTCACCCGTACCTTCCATCTCCTCCAGCTCCTTTTCACCCTTCCTTTTATTCTTCAATCTCTCTTCCATCCTTTCCACGCTTTCCCTCTCATTCATCCTATTCTTGTTACTCTTGTTCTCCTTCTTATCCCTTCTTCACATTCTCTCATCCCCATCTATCCATCCTTTTCCACTTCTCTCTATCCATCCCCTTTCCCCCCTCTGATGCATATTTTCTTCCCTTCCTCGACTGTTTCTTTTTCTGTTTTTCTATCTTCCCTTTACCTCCAGTTGTTCATTTTCCCCTTTTCCTGCTCTTGACCCCTCCAGTGTTTCTTCTCCTTCCCCCTGCCCTTCCCCTTTATCTCAATATTTCCCTCTATTCCCTTTCCCCCTCTAGTTAATCTTTTGCCTCCCATTCTTTCTTTGCTCAGTGTTTCAAGCGGGGTTTCTCTTTCTCTTGTTCCCCCTCGGGTGCTCAGGGCTCCGCTCTCCCCTGCACTCATTTCCTGTCCTTTCATCTCTGTTTGCTCTCTCCTCTGTCAGTCCTCATGCTGCCTCTTTACTCATTTATCTTTCTGTCTCCGAACATTTTTCTACTTGTTCTTGTTTGCCTTCTTCTCATATAGCTGTATGTCAATACTATCATAATGCTTCTCCCGCTACCTCTGTCTGTCTGTCTCTGTCTCTTTCTCTCTCTCTCTGTTTTTCCGCTTGGTATCTTTATGACTGTCTCCTGCAGCCGTCACGTCCTTCACTGAGCGGACAGAGGCGGGAGATGAAACTATAATGTGGGAACACTGGCGGCTTCGTGTCACTGTTGACCTGTGAGAATGGCACACGACACCTGACCTCCAGCGTGTCATGTAGGCAGCCATCGGGTCCCTCCTCCTTCCGAGGGGTCGGAGGGGAGGACGGGGGATGGAACACTGTCACGCACCTCCCTAAAAATGAGGGGAGAGTTGCTGGAACAGCAGCAGCAGCAGGAGGAGGAATAATACATTACAAACTTCACGTTTCAAAAGGACGAAGAATTTACCGGGTTATATGACGCCGTAAGGATTAGTTTCCAAGTGCATGAAATCAGAGAGAATTGCGGGTTTTTAGCTAAATATAATTTACACACGTCGTCTCCCATAGGGGAATTTTGTTCCCTTTATACGCCTGGCTAGGTAGGTCAGCTTATGGAGATTGACAGGCACAGATTGAGTACATAGAAGTACATGAGAGGATAAGGGGCTGCATATGAGAGTACATGGCAGTACATGAGTTTACATGAGCACGTTGGATTAAATGTGAGTACATGAGAGTCCATGCGCTTACATTAGTCTCTCCCACAGGGACCAGCGGTGCTGTTCACACAACTACAAAAATAATTCATTTAATTTTCCTCGCAGATAATCAAAAACGAAGGAAAATGCTCTTGTGTTGGATCCTTTTGAGGGGTTAATAGCTGGAAACACTGTGTCGGTATTTTAACTTGAAGCTCTGTAATATACCTTTCATGAATTGGGTACCAATGTTACCTACTGACTCAATACCACTTTCCAGCGAGTTACAGCTGATAGTGGATGCCTGACAGCGCCCGTGGCCTTATAGACCCTTATAGAAACTCTCTCATAAAATTTTCAAATCTTCGATTCAATAAGTTTTTTGCCTTACCTTTTTTGTTGAAAAATTCCAAATATTTTATAGAATTAAACATTTCAAGAGCTAGACGTGTGTTTTTATAAAGGAATCGAGGGATAAAGTACGATAAACAGTACAATATACGACTTATGGATTTTGTACAATGCATCTGCATTAGTGATACAGTGCAGATGCATTATATATCATGCAGATGCATTATATAATGCGACCATGCATTATAGTGCATGGCCAAACGACCATGCACTATAATGCATAGTCGTTTGGCATGGTAAGGAAATTAAATACTTGCCGAAACGATGACATGTATGATAAAAAGAATAATTATACAACCTATTACTGTATGCCAGTTATACAAGAGTGACTATATATGCTAGTTATACGACCAGTAATTTTAGACCTGTTATACAACCAGTAATTATATACCAGTTATACAATGACTGTATGCCGATTATAAAACCAGTGCCTATATCAGTTATACATCCAGTGACTGTATATCACGTATGCAAACTGAAGTGCCTAGATTCCAGTTATACAACCGTAACTGTATGCCAGTTATTCAACCAGTAAATGTATGCTAGTTATAAAACAGTGACTGTGTGCCAGTTATACAATCAGTTACATTATACCTTTGACAACCAGTAACTACACGCTTGCAACACTACCAAGCTATGGATTGGTTACTGCAGTCACTCTATTATTACATTCTATGATGGTAACTTGAAGCTGTTTATCAGATTGCTTCAGTAACATCGACTTCTAAACCGTTACACTCATGTACAGTTCCTGTACTAAATATTAATGACGTCGCTGTGACTTGCTTGCGCTTCCAATATCTATTTAACATTCCATCGTTTCCTTGTTCACCATTTTGGAACATTGATTTCTTGTTTCTTTGACGTACCTGGATCTGGATCGTACCAGTAACGAGGCTCTAGTTCTTCTGCTCCCCAAACCCGGTCCGAGGCCAGGCTTGACTTGTGATAACTTGGTCCAACAGACTGTTGCTTGGACTGGTCCGGAGGCTCACATATCCACTACAACCCGTTTGGTCCGGCACTTCTCGCAGGGAACTGTCAAACTTAAAAAAACACTTGGAAAACTTCATGTTTTTCTTGATGTCCATTTTTGTGGCGGCAATATTTCTTATGCTTGCTGGGAGGATATAACCTCTGATGCTGATAGTGGTGTCTATGCCTTTAGTGTCTCTACTCTTCACTGACTGTTTTGCATTTCCTTCCATATTGTTCACTTCAGTAAGTTGTTATTTTATAGTTCAAATATGGGACCTGGCTTTCCAATATTTTCCAATATTATGTGATACATCTCTCGTCTCCTTTCCATTTATCAAATGCTTTTGCAAAGTCTGCAAAGGCATTTGCAGACTTAATCCACATCTGTATTTTGTTTTTCTTCTGGTGCTTCTGTGATTTTGTCATTGTACTCACCTAGTTGTGGTTGCGAGAGCTGAGCTTCGGTTCTTTGATCCCGCCTCTCAACAGTCAATTAACTGGTGTACAAATTCTTGAGGCTATTGGGCTCTATCAAATCTACATTTAAAACTGTGTATAGAGTCTGATTATTATGGAGTTCGCCTCCACATGTGGCATTACTCAACCACAATGACTATGTTTGACTAACTGTGAAAGGCATGATCTTTCTGCTCTAAATTCAAAATTTCCTGGGTTGTTCTCCATAAATCTGCTGATGTGATTCCTGATCACTTTTTCAACAACTTTTATTGTGTGTGATGTTAGTGTGACTGGCCTATAGTTTTTATCCAATGATTTACTCCATTCCCTGTGTAGTGGAGGTATCTCTGAGGTTTTAAGTGCTTCTGGTATCTCCCATGCAGATAAGTTTTCCTCCAAATTACACTGAGCTCTTACACTCCTAAAAGATGGCTTCGTCTCACTTCTGTTTTTCATTATCTTTAAAAAAAAGTTAGATTCATTAGATAACCAGTTTAGACGGGTCGTTGACGCCCAATGGCACTTCAAATACTATGTTTACAATATCTGTTTCTTGTTGTGTTAAACATAAGACCTGTAATTTCTTTCATATTTACACCCATTCAACTTGCTTCATCTCCTACATACTGTTATGAACTTCCCTTGTTTTACCTCTAATAATTTTAGTATCCGTGTCTCTTTAGTATCCGTCTAGCCATTTTATCCTCTAACTTCAACCTGCTTCTACGAATCCTCGCATTAATATGTGACACTTGCCTTTGTTATCTTGTTTTCTTTGTTATCTGTAATTCAAAGTCAGTAAGTTTCCTCTTCTCTCATGAGATCATTTTGTGACATCTGTGAACTAATTTATTACCGCAAGGAAAAGATTTTAAAAGTTAATTGTCGTTCTAACTAGCAATCTCACATTCTCTCATATCATCTGGTTTATCTCCCAACTATTTGGTGCTTATATTTAATTACAATATTAGCTATTCTAGTTAGCTTAGTTTTCACTTTTACTTGTTACATCAAAGTTATTGTCTTCAACTCATTTGTTTACATCAACGTACTTATATTTCTGTTCATCGGCACTAGTATGCCAGTGCCACAACCCAGTGCTTGCCTCTCAGTGCTCACATATACATACATCTACAGGGACTGAGATGTAGCTCATGTGGAATTATCTCATTCAGATTTATAATTAGCTTTTATTTAAATCTCTTGATACCCTTGATATAACACAGTGACCGAACACCTGAGACTAAACAACTTTGAAGATAAGGCGGCTTCGTCACCTCTGGAGCATCAAACTTTCAGTAAACTTTGTTACTTGAAAGGTTATTTACGTTTCAGAGCTACTACAGAAGTTCACGTTCTTAAGTTCTGAACACGTGTTCAGTCCACAGTTCACAACAATTACCAAAAATAGTTACATATCGCGTTTCACCTCCATAAATAGAATGAGTTCTCCATCACCTTGCATGGAATCACTACCTTGGATGGAGTGATTGGATCTATCGCCTTCAATACGGTGAATGTCCCCGAGACATTTAGCTGTAATGACAGAAGTCTGTAATGTCAATGTAGTGTCATCAGTTAACCTCAGGGTAAGTTGGTGCTATGATCTGTCAACCGTTGTGGGGGTTATTAAGGATGCTGCAAATGCTTTCTGACCAACCAGTAGGTAAACCTGACCTAAGAACTTAGTTAAGCACTAATGTGGTCCAATGTGGCCTCTTGCCTTCAAGTCTATACACAGAGAAATGCTATTGTAAAACTCTCTTGTGTCTATATTCCTTTGTAAGCCTAGAATTTTCCAGCATGGCAATTTGTTGTCTAATAGACAACAAAAACTAAATTATGATTGAAATGATGTCAAGATTTCTGTAAAATATTTAGTAAGTGCTGTCAAGTTATTGACATAATTAAGTATTTAGTTTCCAGCACTAGAAATTCATTCGGCTGTTGATGACGATCATTTCTGAAGCACTAGTGCTTTAAAGAATGGAAGATCCATCCAGGTACGTATTTCATCACATTTACACCGAGAACAGAAATCAAAAGTGTATCTTTAATGATCTCTTCATTCATAACATAAATCAGTCATATTGTTAAGATCTCTCAACTCGCAGCCATACAAACTACTGTATAAATTAGTGAAACTATATATATATTATATATATATATATATATGTCGTACCTAGTAGCCAGAACGCACTTCTCTGCCTACTATGCAAGGCCCGATTTGCCTAATAAGCCAAGTTTTCATGAATTAATGTTTTTTCGACTACCTAACCTACCTAACCTAACCTAACCTAACTTTTTCGGCTACCTAACCGAACCTAACCTATAGAGATAGATTAAGTTAGGTTAGGTAGGGTTGGTTAGGTTCGGTCATATATCTACGTTAATTTTAACTCCAATAAAAAAAATTGACCTCATACATAATGAAATGGGAAGCTTTATCATTTCATGAGAAAAAAAAAGAGAAAATATATTAATTCAGGAAAACTTGGCTTATTATGCAAATCAGGCCTTGCATTTTAGGCTGAGAAGTGCGTTCTGGCTACTAGGTACGATATATATATATATATATATATATATATATATATATATATATATATATATATATATATATATATATATATATATATATATATATATATATATATATATCAATTTAATTTGGTCAAAGGGAGTCCCCAGGTTCATCATCCGAATGTGATTAACATATATTAAACAGCCAAAGATATTTACTGATGCAATGACGATATAACGATAATTGAAGTACCTTATTTACGCCGTGTCATATTTTCCCCTACTGTAATAATTCATACACGTTGATTGATGCCAGACCACAACTTGCATTGCATTCAGGAGCAACACGCAACATTATGTAAACCTTGCAGTTTCAGGCACCCGTTTCTTCCAGGACCTCTGAAGTCCTCTGGTCCAGTAGAGTAGGATGAGGGGAGAGAGCTGGTGAGGGGAGGACTGGTGAGGGGAGGGCTGGTGAGGGGAGAGCACACACCGTCTTAAGAGTCACGGATGAGAGCGACGAAGGGGGAAAGGCGAGGGACGCAACACACCGCAACACACGCAAAAGCCGAGGGGAGGAGAAGGGGAAGATGAAGGAGGATACACTGCCACGCACACACACCCCTGAGGGGTAGAGAGGGGAACACAGCCACTCACACTTGAGGAAAGGACAGGGGAATACACTCCCATACGCATCTAAGCATAGATGAGAATACACTACCACACACACACCTGAGAGGCAGAAAGGGAATGCACTACAATACACCTGAAGGGAGAACAGGTGAAACATGCTCCCTTCACACACCTGAGTGGAGGAGGGAACACACACCTGACATGGCCACAACAACACGTTGCACTCATGGCACTCGGAGCTCATGATTAAAAACATTATAAATCAGACCTTTCACTCGAACATTTATACAGATTAAAAACATAGAAATTATTTTAACAAAAGGGATACAGTATGATATAATACAGATATACATCACAGTAACTATGAAACAAAATATAAAACACAATAAAAAATACAATTTGCTTATACAATAAAATGAGTAAGTAAACAACTTTCTTCTATGCAGTAGAATTACATATACCTAAATGATACAAAAAAATATTTATATATTAAAACTACTCATCTATTATGATTATTTATAGCGAAAGAAAATAGTAATGAAATCATTCATAATAGACAATAGTAATAATTAATGAATAATAGATAATTGCGATAATACAGGATAATAATCTTCACCTAAATGTACATGCAGGGTTGAGCAACAGCTCCCAAGCCTCGACTTCTTGAGCCTGTTGATGATCTATGATTATGTCCTCTCGTTTGTTCTTATAAATGCAATTATTAATATAGTTCAACTTACGATAGATCTGTTAATTCATCTGTGTCATTCCTCTCATTCCTTACCTCAATCATTCTGCTGATTCAAGTTTTGAAGAGTGATTTTTTGCCTACTTTGTGAATTCGTATTTATACCTTATATGTCCGTATCATGTCTCCCACATACGTCTCCTCCCATCCAGAGTGATGTACTCCAGGTCCGTCAGACATACACAGTTAATGAAAGTAATTATTCAAACCTCCTGCCATTTATAATGGATTAAATAATTTATTGAGTAATTTATATTAAATGACAGTAATAATAGCCATTTATATTGGATTAAGAGACGAATGTCGATAACACATCAAGATATCTATCCAGAACGCGTGTAAGATGTAAGCAATATATTGAAATACGATATCAAAGCAATAATGATGGCGATATTAACTGTTAAATGGATTTATATATGTGTTCTTGAACCAATGAAATATTTAAGCCAAATGTGCTTGCCTAAAATATAGCTTTAAATAGTAAATAAAGTGTCCAAAGAACTATATGTCAATGATACCTAAACTGCTGGAAAATACCAAACACCTCAAATTATGTAAGAAAATATATATATGTCTCTTGGTTTGGTGGATTGTACAAGTGTCGACTTTACATACCGATTGTTACGTCCATACGTTACATACGAAGCCTGTACGTCTTTTAACAATCACGGCGGCTCTGTTTACATTCATAAAATAACTTAAGAGCTTCAAAAGTTTACAATCCACAAACCGTTTAATACATGTAAACAAAGCAGCCATGATTGAGGAAAGATATACAGGTTTCGTTAGTAGATGCATCAATGCTTGACAAAGGTACTAGAGAACATATCCTAAGTGATGCTGGAATATATTTTCTCTCGTTGACTGTGTACAATTACCTTTGGTAATTGTACGTTTCTGCCCGAAACGCTTTGCGTAATAGTGGCTTTAGGCATTGTATGTACTAGCTCTATCTATTAATCCAACAAACTTTGTAAAATCTCTTGTATGTATGTACCTTACCTAAATAAACATTTATTTATTTATTTATTTATTTTATTTACTTAGGTATGTCCCAGAGACACTTGTACACGAAATAAAACTGACACATTTATATAAATGTTTCAGCTTTATTTGTTATAGAAGTTGGCCCATTTGTTATGACCACTTAAAGTTCGGTGATAAGTGGCTCAATAAAGCCACCTGCAACAGGTGCTTATTTACTGTTAGGTGAACAGAGGTATTTGGCGCAAGGAAATGTCCCCAAAAATCTCCGTCCTGCCTCGCGAATTAAATTAGTGTCCTCTTGGTGTGAACCATCATCGCAGACCACTCTGCTAGTTGGCTATATCACTATGTCCTTGATTTCCAATATAGATAAAATGTCATAGCCAAGTCCATAAATAGTTAAAATACTAAATTTCAATAGAGAAGATATAATCAAGATCTTACTAACACAGGACGAGTTCTGAATAATTATCTGCAAGGAAGTATATTTTCCTTTAAGATCAGATACTTATCAATAACTATGCTATGGATAGGCTTCAAGTACATTAATTGATGCTTCAAGTGCACAAGAGGATGCTTCAAGTGCACAAGAGGATGCTTCAAGTGCACAAGAGGATGCTTCAAGTGCACAAGAGGATGCTTCAAGTGCACAAGAGGATGCTTCAAATGCACAAGAGGATGCTTTAAGTGCACAAGAAGATGCTTCAAGTGCAAAAAAGGATGCTTCAAGTACACAAGAGGATGCTTCAAGTGCACAAGAGGATGCTTCAAGTGCACAAGAGGATGCTTCAAGTGCACAAGAGGATGCTTCAAGTGCACAAGAGGATGCTTCAAATGCACAAGAGGATGCTTCAAGTGCACAAGAGGATGCTTTAAGTGCACAAGAAGATGCTTCAAGTGCAAAAAAGGATGCTTCAAGTACACAAGAGGATGCTTCAAGTGCACAAGAGGATGCTTCAAGTGCACAAGAGGATGCTTCAAGTGCACAAGAGGATGCTTCAAGTGTACAAGAGGATGCTTCAAGTGCACAAGAGGATGCTTCAAGTGCACAAGAGGATGCCCTCATGTCTGTGAAGTGTCTTAAACTGAGATTAACATGTTACATAAATGAGTGTCTGAAGTACCATTTTCTGTCATAAACTGCTCTCAAACAACTTTATGATGTTTTCAGAACCCTCCCGAGGGAAGGAGGCGAGTTAACTAGAGAAAGCCAGTGCACAAAGCCCCCGACATCGGAAAAGATGAATCACACGAGTTGATATCGTTCTCACAGACATAATTAGGTATCAGATGGGATCGAATTCGCATCCCTGGGGGAATCCAGGTATGGGAAATCCCACTCACATCAATGGACTCCCCAGTGGTGCAAGTTCGATCCCACAATACCAACTCAATCTTTTATCTTAGATGAAAACGCATCAGGGGAAAGCTTGGACGCGCACCAATCTATTGTCATAGGAAAGAGGAAGAAGGGAAGGATGGTGGGGGAGCTTTCTATCACCACACACTCCCTCCCTTCCCTTTCCCCTCCCCTCACCTGGAGGGGATCAAAGGGAACAAGTAGAGGGGAAGTTGACGCGGCCACCGAGCTTCTGTGAGAGAGGCAGAGCGGGAAGCAAGCGATCTATGCTTTTGGGGAAGAAATATTTTAAAATTTGGAACCGAAGGACCAGGAAATATTTAGAGGACAAATTAAATTAAAGTCTCCTTCAGAGATATACACAGAGCACGCACACACACACACATACATGCCCACACATACATACATGCGCTAACCCATTGAAACACCGAGCTCCAAAGTGATTGGCTAATATCTTATCTCCAGAGCCTAGCCTCTATTAGTAAGATATTAGTAAGATATATAATAAAATCACTTATCCATATCACCTTAGACACATCACATGATAATGACGACAGAAATGAGGGGAAATGAGGTCAGAATCCCGCTAAGAGCCATCTTTTCTCATCTTAGAGATATACAAGTTTCTAAACATAGGTATTGTATTACATGCTTTCTCAAGACTAATTACATACTGAACTGAATAGAATATGTCTTAAAGAGATAATTATGGTGGAATGAACTCGTATGTGACTTTGACAGTCATTAACAGTGACTTTGACAGTCATTAACAGTGACTTTGACAGTCATTAACAGTGACTTTGACAGTCATTAACAGTGACTTTGACAATCATTAACAGTGACTTTGACAGTCATTAACAGTGACTTTGACAGTCATTAACAGTGACTTTGACAGTCATTAACAGTGACTTTGACAGTTACGAAGTTCGTTGTCATGCATCAAGAAACTTAAAAAAAAAAATAGACCAATGAATACACAAATATCAAACCTTAAAAACAGGTTGGGTTTGATATACTCAGCTCAAGATTTCGGAAGGAATTAATAAAGGAAAGGAACACGACGACAAGGAACTACGAGCATTTAGAACATTACCAGAAACACAGATGTTGCAGCATCGCAATTGAGGAAGAAATTGGAGGAACTGGATGAGACAAAATCCTAAGAATTTGAAGAAGAAAAGATATGAATGTTCAACTTTTACGTTGAAGAGGTGAAAAAAAATCTCTGGCAGCGATTAGGATTGTAACAATATGCAGGGAGACCTGTATATTTTTCTACAATCATTTTTCAATCATTCCTGACTTCTTCAGGAATGATTGTAGAAGTGGCTACACAATGGAATGTACTAACTGTTCGAGAGGAAGTAAGAAGAGCTATTAAACAATATGATATGATAGAACAGCAAGCTGAAGTAGCAGAAGATAAGGGAGCAGGTAGTTAATATAACCGAGAATAGACTTCATCAAACGATGGAGAAAAACAACCAGTTAACAAGAGGTGGAACCAGACAGACTGAACATATAAATTGACCCTGAATATTCGAATGAGCCGGATAGATGAAATAATACAATTCAATGCTTGATAAGCGGAAATGTGTGAAATGTGGTGGGAAAGGTTTCACACACTCAAACGCAAATATGATAAAAAATACCGTAACGAGATGGCGAAGTTCTTGTAAAAGTTGAATGTTAGATAAAAGATCGAAGTACAACAGCTGGAGTTCATTCACTACACACATAAGGCTTAACTTCAAACTGTATAGCGTTTACACACTCTCTCTCTCTCACACACACACACACACACACACACAAAGGTTGAGCCCAGTAGGCTCAGGAACCTGTACACCAGTTGATTGATTGACAGGGACCAAAGAGCCAGAGCTCAACCCCCACAAGCACAAAAAGGTGAGTATACACACACACACACACGCAATATACCTCACCAACAAAGTCAAGCCACTAACAACAAACGGTATAGATAGAGACGAGGCGAGGAAGGGTCCCACAAGACGCAGACCACTAACACACAGAGTGTGGCTGCCCCCCAGGGCTCCCCACTCCATTACCTGGCCCGCCCTCGCCAATGCCGCCCTCGCCTCTCTTATTAAGCCCGAAGTTAATTGACTAATGCTCTTGGGGGTAAGGGGAAACGCACAGTAAAAGGAAGAGAAAAAGGCAACCTATAAAAAAGGAGAAAAGTAACCTCTCATCTCTCTTATTTATTTTCCTGTTCCTGCCTCTCTTTTATCACACTTGTTAATGGTCCAAAACGGACCGAAACCTCGTCGTCGAGTCATTTTCTGACGGTTTGGTCATCATATCTTCAGCCACGTTATTGTGACTCATCGACTACGTATAAAGATAATTTTATATGATTATGTATATTAGAGTGATTTCATCGAATCGCCTCACTTTGTGGGGCCACGTGAGCGACATAAATGCGAACAAGCTCTAAATAGATATATCTGTACCCAAGATTACCAACAAGTGCTGTCGGGTCGTTGGGGATATGGCCTCGGCTACCAGTGACTTTTGTACAGTCACGGTTGGTCGAGTGGTTAAGGAATTGGGTACGCCATGTTGCAGAGTACTACTGGCTGTCTGGGTTCGAATTCTTCTGGGGTGTGTGTGTGTGTGTGTGTGTATATATATATATATATATATATATATATATATATATATATATATATATATATATATATATATATTCTATTTTTTTTAACATTTTCTAACATAACATTAACATTGTTAACAACATAACATTTCTAACATAACATTAACATTTTTTTCAAACATTTTATATATATATATATATATATATATATATATATATATATATATATATATATATATATATATATATACATATTTCTTTATTTTAAAATTTCATTACACAAAAACGGTTACAACATTGGTCACATTAGTTACATGCAGGGTACAAGACTTGTCACAGGTTGTAGAGTTCCTCCAACTCCTCAGATGGCGAACAGGAACCATGGATGCAGTGAGCATTTCCTCTCTGGATCGCCACACTAAGGCGCTGAAAGAGGAAACTGGCAGGTCTAGGGTCTTTAGTTGTTTCAATTAGCTTGGACCCTAGCTCCTTAGAAAAACGAGTAGCACTTTTACCCCAGGCACCAAGTGTCTCTGAGGCAATGGCGAGAAAATTGTATTAGTGATCAAGATATTAGTGATCCCTGTATTTACACAATTTGGCTGCTTCCCGGTGATTGGCAGCACCTCCTGCCTGTGCAGCACTGAAGTCAATATAGGTGTTGGCTAAAGTTGAAACGTAAGTGTAGTCCCACACCAACTGTCCACCATTCTTCCAGGGGTTCACCGTGATCCCGTCTGGGCGACAGACAGACTCATCAGAGTTGCAGGGCATTAGGTAACGGGGCTCTCTCTCTGCTGGACAACCGGTTATAGTAAGGTTTCTCTTAATAATGTCATTAACCTCGCCGTGTCTTGCGAGGTAGGTATCCACTGGGAAACCGAAACGAAATTTCCGAACGTTTTCATCTTTCATCCACAAGGACCTACTCTTATTTACCAGAGAGTACTTATCGCGATAGGTACTCTCGCTTTCCAGGAAAACCCTGGCAGGGGCGTCATTATCCGATGATGTTTGGTGAGCTCTGGGTCTCAGTGTTGGCAAGGAAGTGAAGTCTACGAGCATGTTCCTAGTGAGGTCGTGTTACGTTCATTTTGCATATGATTTCTCACTTACAACATGATCTGAACATGCTAGTAGATAATTATACAGTCCTGGACTCTACCTCTGACTCTATAATAATACTATATCCTTACAATGTCGTTTAGTTGTCAGGGCAAAGTGTCACTAATGGCAAGTATTCCTCTTTCGATCCCTAATTAATTCAACTTTTAATGTGTTTAACATTGCCTCGCAACTACCTTTCCCTATCATAACTACATCAACAACTGAGAAACTATGGATCTTCACCTACTTGCAACACTAATATTTAGGCTACTAACAAAACCATGACACCAGTTCCCATAAAGTATAACCCACATCTTTATCTGTCGATCCTTGACCCTGAAGCTCCACAGATCAACTATAAAGTTAATTTTTCTTACTCGTCGATTTGCCTGATTATCTTACTACCTGAAGACTAAACCATACACCAGAAAATGAAACGTCGACGTTTCGGTCCGTCCTGGACCATTATCAAGTCGATTGTCTTCATATTTTAAGACACGTTATTGTGACTGATCGTCTGCATCTTACTACCTGCTCACTGTAATGTTTTAATGCCAGCAAAGGTTTCGCAATAGCCCGCCAGGATCAGTAACGTTGTTCACAAATCATTTGATAAATTTTGTGGCCACGACCTTTCAGCTATCCGGCTGAGTCTCCTTACTTAATGTCGCATGACAATCGCTTTAAATGCAAATATTCAAATGGTCTCTCGGGTACACACTCATCTGTAAACACTTAAGGTCTTCTCAGAGTTTTCAAGTCCCTTCTCCCAGAGGACTACAGAGCTCACACAAGCCCTGAGGCTTATACTCATCTCCAGTGTTAGCGAGGAACTCAATCACGACACGTCCACCAGTGACCTACAGACTGTTCTTGTTTAAGATTTGCTACCTGGAACAAAAAGTTCCAAGTAGCACGGGCTATGGTGAGCCCGTAGTGACCTACAGACATAGGCGAGAGATGGAAGCCAGAGTGGAATGCGAGACACT